GGACTGTTCCACTTTCTCGTACATTTTTTGGATAATTAAACAGAACTCTGGAAATAAGCAGGGCAGCATGGTATATTTGGACTTCAGTATAGCTCAAGATTACACTTCTGTGCAATGAAACAAGCTTGATAGTGATTCTTAATGAGAAGAATCTTGAAAACGGGAGAGTTCTCCTCTTCCTTAGCTGCTGTGTCAAATGACAATATGCATCTGTATAGAGAAAGATTATCCTTCTGTAAGGAAGCACTAAGTTTGAAAGTATGTTTGTGATGCCAGCAGCCGTCAGTGATACCCTTCCTTTGCTTTAATAATACCAGCCTCTGTGACCTGTTGGTATCATGCAAGGAGCTAAATAATTTGTGTTGTGAGTAAGAGTTTTAGAATCTGACCCTAAGTGTGAGGATCCATATGTTCGGCTGAATACAGATCTGGTCTTTGTGACCCTGCTAAATGGAACCCATCTGATATTTTCCTTTCTCACAAGGATGAACGGAATTACTTTTTGGACATTGTTGTGGAGGAAATAAGACTGCCAATTTTCTAGCTAAGGGTGGATTGATTAAAACTTTGGGAACTTCCCAGTTGGAACTAGGATCTTGTTTGTTTACAGTAGACTTTTTTTTTTTCTTACTTTTCTCTTTTCTCTTTTTTCAGAGGTGTGAGGGAGGAACCCTCTGCTAATCCAGTAATCCTCAAACCCACATCTCAGCTGAATGATGATCATGCTCATGCAGTGCTGTCAGCTGAACAATGTGGCTTTGGCCTGTTGGATAAACTTTTAATTCAGCAGACCTTTGAGCCTTTAGGTGCCAAGTCCTCCCCAGACCCCCTTTCAAATCCTTTTGATTTTTAGAAAGTAGTAAAGCACAGTGGTCTCACAATACCACTGATTCCTGAATCTAACTGTCACTACTACCCTTTGGTGCACCAAGCAACATGAGTTATTACTGACAGGGAAAACCAAGACCTCCTTGTCCCAACACTTGTGCCATCCCTGTGGAAAGATGGACTCATTCCAGTAGACGCTGCTCTTGCAAAGGCTAATGAAAAGCTGCTAGACAGAGGGCCAGTGGGTGGATTACAGGCATTTAGTAGTGCTCAGTGATGCACTGAATAGATTTTTTTTTTTTTTCCCTAAATTGGCTACGCTTCTTTACTTGTGGAGTTTGTTTCCTTGAGCATGTCTGTATTTATATTTAGCAAAATTAACAAGGGGTGAAATAGGTGCTGAGGATGTTAATTATGTAATTAGAAGAGCAAAGAGCTACCATGTAATGGACAGTGAAGAAAAATGCCAAAGAATTTATAGGAAGAAATTAAATCCCGTGTTAGGTTTTTGATTAAGGCCCTCATTTTTACTGTGTTGTCGGTTGGTCATGGTGACTTCAAATACAAAAGTGATGGATTTCATTTCTTGTTTGCATTTACTCAAGTGTGCACGTGTGCACCTGGTATGTGTTCACATTAGTGGTTATTTGTTTTTTACCAGCAGATTAAAATATAGGAGGTAAGAGCCTCATCCAGGAAATCATCCGTTTGAAAAAAACTGTAGAGTGAAATGAAAAAGATCATATGAACTTTAGAGGTATTTAAGTAAATTCAGTTAGCACATTGTTAAAAATCATGCAGTGTCCTTTGGTGCCCTTTTCATCTTGTTTATTTTAGTAAGGAAGACCAGTTACTTTGAAAAGTAGTTCTCAATATGAGAATTGACTGCTGGTCACCATATCACTTCATGATCCTTTATGCATAGGGAACACTTGAAAGCATATGTACGTTTGTGGGTTGGTTGTTTTTTTCTCCCTCCAGAGAGATTTAATTATTTATGCTAGAATTCTTCTTATTGTGAGTTATTTTTATAATTGAATCAAAGAGACTGTGTACGCTGATACTGCCCCAAGTTACCTTTGATTGATATGAAAAATCCTCCAAAGTAGCCAACTACAATAACTTTGTCACTTGTTTGTCATATGAGTTTTGACGATGGGTCATTCTATAGATGTCTAAAATGATCTTTAGCCACGTTTTATGAAGCCAGAACTGTAATCCAATAACAATTTTCTGGCTAAGTGCTCCTCAGTTGCCACTGGGGACCAACTGCATCACTGTTACTGCTCTTAAAATGAGCTTAAGCTAAAAGGACACAAATTTCATATTTCTTTCCTTATTTTCTTGAGAGTAATCTAAGAAAATAATATATTAAATAATTGCATTCTGGTTCCTGAGGGACATCAACATAATTGCATTGAGGATACCTTTTATTTTTTATGCATTTATTTATTAACAAAGAAGTGCATTCCATCTGTAAACCAAGTGATTGGTCCAGTGGCACAAAACAATAATGCAACAAAGCCTCTAGTTCATTAAATTGGAATAGAGAGATTGAATTACTAATTTATGTTGGTTTTAATTTCATGTTATAAATTACAGTATTCTAAAATGTAAGGGAAAAATATTCCCCGTGACGCTGGCTACCTACTGTTCCAAGTAGGAAGATTATATAAGGCTCAGGAGAGAGAGAGGTGCTGAAGATTGTTCAGACTGACATGGTTCATCTGGAGTACAGTGGTGGTGCACATCACAAGGCACAACTCTTGCATCATTTTATCAATTAAAAAAATGTGAAATATTTATATAAACTGAGGATACTCTGGAGGTATTGTTTTTAAACATGGATAGTTTGAAGTGCTGGTTTCTGAAAACTCCACAATATGAAGGTCAAGTAACAGAAGAAATGAACAGTGAGAGAGCACTACATCATGAAACTGAAGTGATCTCATTTCACTCTTACATTCTCTTGTGTCATCCACCCTAGTTTTTTTTTTTTTTAATATAATCTTGTATTCAAAACTTTTTCTTGCAAATTTCAGTTTGTTTATAAGTTCTGTCTATTCTGGTCATCTTAGTTTGATTTCTGTGTTTAAAAGTCTCCGCAGCTGCTTGTAGAAACAAATATGAAACCCGTATAAGAGAATATATTCTCTTCAGAGTTGTTTTGTTGAGTAGATTCTTACTGTTCAGGCTTAGTCGTCTGGTATCAGAGGTGAAGTCTTAACTAGCTCTTTCATTTCAGGCTTTGAGACTCCAGGTCAGTCACTTTCTGAGAAAAGATGCCTCGGGTGTAACACTCTTACAAGAAAATCTGTTCTGTTTTTTTGTACTGATATCTTCCTGAGTAGCAGGAAGTGTTTCAGAAAGGCTATCCTCAGATTTTCTGGAGAAATGTTAGATAGTCTTTTCCTTTCTTTAATTAACTATGAGCATTTTTCTGTTAAACACTTGTATGGCAGTCAGTCATGAATGTTGCCCATTGATTTAGTGAACCTGAGATGGTATTTCCAGCCTTTCTGTGATGCAGCCATGCTGCTGGTGTAGTTTTACCTCCCTCCCTCTGTTCCTACCTTCTCCCCTTACTCTGTGAGCTTTCATTTGGAAACCAATCTAATAAGTACAGCAGAGCGTATAAGTCCCAATTCTGTGCCACTTCTGATCTTTTACAAGGCTTTAAGGAAGCCACCACAGCAAGTAGTTTAATATATCCATGAGATGGCATGTGACGTCCTTATTTCACAGTCTTTCTCAGGTGAAAGCTGCAGAGGTGATGGGAGTATTTACCTGTTAGAGGTGTAGTCTTTCTTTCTAGAAAGCTTAGTCAGTTATTTCATTTATTCATTGGTGTACTTTGAGCTACCGTTAACTTTGATTTCATGAAAGAAAAGATCAGGGTTATATTGATTACCTTCAGGTTAAAATTTGCAGTTGTTTCATGAGAAGGGAGATTTTGGTCTCCTCTGACAGTTAGGGCTGGCTCGCTCCACCCCAGGTCAGAGTTGTGAGCAGGTTATGAGCTCTCATGCAAGTCAGCTTGAGAGCTGAGGTACTCTCAAGAGTACCAGCTTGCTGCTCAAAGCAGGGCCGACTTGGATGGGGTTGCTTAGGGCCATGTCCTGTCCAGTTTTGAATATCCCCAAGAACAGGGATTCCACCAGCACTCTGGGCAACCTTTTGCACTGCTTTACTATTCTTGAGATTTTTTTTTTCCCCCTCCCCCAACAGGATCTGATTGGAATTTCCCTTTTTGCCACTTGGCGTCCATTGTCTCTCCTCCTGTCATGTGTGCTCCTCTGAGAAGAGTCTGGCTCCATTTTTCTCTGTACCCTCTGTCTCTAGGTAGTTGAAGATAGCTTGTGCAAAACCAGACAGATGTGAGTCAGGAAAGTCACAGAGACAGCTGTATTTGAGACTGGGCAAGAGCTGCCCTTGTTCTGCTGAACCTTCTGTGTGTCTGACAGAGCTGCAAAACTTTGAAAAAACAATATTCTGCATTTGCTAGGTCTTCGTATTTCAGGACCTTATTTTCAGCATGTCGTTGAATCGACTCTAATGCTGATCAAACGATAAACAGATTTTTATACTTGTGTGTGAGAATCAGGTTTTCTGTTTCAGGATCTGCATTGTGGACACATTCGGGATTCGTGTTAGGTGTACGTTTTGGGCTTGACAATCGCATTTTTAGAAGTCTTTGTTTTATGAAGGATAATCATTTTCCTTCTCAAGTCATATCTACTGCTACAAAAACTTGCAGTACTCTCTCCTGAATGCATTATCTCACCAAAGCTGCATGTTTCCCTTGAGGTGATGGCTGAACACCATAAACCTTGATTCTTTCCAAAGGCTCAGAGAGGCCCAAGGGTCCTGAGCTCTAGCGTATGCTAATTGTCAGTAATGTATTTGAAACTTATTTTTTTTGTACCTCCTTGACTTGAGGTGTGTGTGTATATATATTTGCATGATGTAAAAACTGTAAATGGAAGAAATGTGCCACTTGTCAAACGTGAATCAGATCTCAGAGTGGTAAAACATTCATTTTTCATTACAGATCTGGCTTTTTTATTCCTTAATTCTGCCAGGAGGGTGGTACTAAATGGTTTTATGTATGTTTGGCTGGTAAAGATAATCTTTAAATAAGTTTTCTTACCAAAAGTCTGTTCTTCTTCTAGGATTTTTATATAGAAGATAGTACAGGAGGCAGAGAATCTACAGCACAGGTAAGTCACTCAGCTGATGATATTTACAAATTTTGACAAAAAGTATTGCATTTAATGTGCAATAAACAATTTGCAGTTCAAGAAAGCAAAGTCCGGGTAGATACCTATGCAAGTCCTCTGTAGGTACGGGCAAAGTGGCAGGTACAAAGTTGGAGATTACAGCGCGGAGCTGCAAGTCATTCTAAGGGTGACACTTGCAATGCATTGAACTATATTAGAAAAATAAGTACTTTTCTCTTTCACTTCTCTCTTGACTCTCTTTATCAAAACACGAGCCTCCAGGTCTGCAAGTCTCATCTTGACACACCAGCTATATTTCAATCTATTTCCTCAGCTACAGTTTTATGTATGAGTTCCCTTCTCTCTTCAGTGGATGTGTACACTCTTGTCTTCTCCAGTTAGCTATTTCCCACCACGGACAAGCACAGAATTTATTTTAAAGGGAATTCACTTCTAATTTGGGAGAAATTAGGTGAATTACTTGAAAAGTAAAGGACATAGCTTGCATTTCTCTTTGTTGTATAATGTATACTTAACTGTATACTTCAGAGGTGCGTCTGTGAAGAAATAGCTGATCCTATTAAAAGTCTGAGTTCGTGTGAAACAATGTGAGTGGGGTGATACACAGACACGACTCAAGATTTTTCTTTAACTCTCAGTGAAGTTTACCAGCAGCGTATAATCAGGTTAGAATATTTTTATCATCAGAATAGACTCTTCCTGAAAGTTCATGCTGGACCTTGTGCTCCAAGGGGCTTCCACTAACATCAGTCGAATGCAGCCCGCCTGGGAGGAGACTGTTGCTAGCTGCTTATAATTATGTATATTAATCCTCTCATGAGTGTCACATGCAAACCACAACTCCCATTATCTTTTTCCCTTTCCTCACATCATCCTTCTTGTCCAACCAGTTTCTGATTCTTTCCACTGTTCCTTTGAAGTGGGTTTACTCTTTGCAGAGATGCATATGCTGGAACTGAATATTCCGCTCCCAGCTGTGTTCCCCAGGCCTATATTCCAGATGCCTGGAAGGACCAAACAAAGCATTACTGTCTGTAGCACAAAGTATAAGGGAATACATCTGGAAGTGGGCAATGTCAGCTGCCTGATAACAAGGAGACTGCTCTGGATGAAGAACTATTGTAAGGAGTTGTGGCAAGAGGAGAAGTAAATTGTCTATTTGAAGTTATTTTCTTTTACTTTGCCCTGACAAGCTAGGAGTTTTAAGCAGGCCAGTGCCTTTGAGCCATTATTTACTTCTGAGGAACTGTGCTTGGTATTGTATTGCAGACAGGCAGAAAAGGAGCTCAGCAGTGTGGATTCAGTTTTGTAACCATGCGCACGGACTCTCTGCCTTCCCACATATTTGGCGTAGAGATCATTTGTTCCTTTACAGTGATATGCTGGTGAATTCAGTTTTGGCAGACTGGGTTCAGGACGGCAGACTGGGTTCAGGACAGCAGACTGTCTCACTCTAGTAGAAAAGATTTGCGTGACTCTGCCCTGCCACAGTCTGTCTGTGTGCTGTCTGCTCGTCGTCTGGCCACATGCACAGCATGAGCTTCCCCCGTCTGCAGGCTTCTGGGGAGGATGGGGTGTTTGCTTCTCAAACACTGCTACAGATCATGTGCCAGCTACATCTTCATCAGCTTCAGCTGCCATTAATCCAGGGTATCCAAATCATTATTCATGTGACAGAACGTGGCATCAAAATACAGGTAAGGCATGTAAAATGAAATGAAACACTGGCAGCTAATAACAAAAAATAGAAGCGTGGAGAGGACATGCCAAGAGATACCTTAGAATGAGGGTAACACTGGCTTCCAGACTGAGCAGCCAACATGATGTTAAGAAACAGATTTGAAAAGCTCACAACCAGTGTTTGATATGTGTGCAAGAACCTTTCTTAAAAACTTAGAAGAACAAAGTCATTTCTGCCATAGTGCAACAAAAACAGATTGTGTCGGTACACCTAAAACAGATTGTGTCCTCTTTCATGTGGAGAATAATTCCATAGTACTCCGTGTTATTTTTAATATTATTTACTTATTTTTAGGCAGAAAATCTTACATAGAATACTGCTTTGCAAACTTGGTTTTATAAAATCTGGATTTAAGAGAGATATGGGGAGTACTGGATGTCCCCTTTTTTACATAAGGTTTTGGAGGAGATGCAGTTCTAGTTTTAGCATCAGCCCCTTATAAGCCCTCACGGTATAATGTTATTCAGCCAAAAAGCAGCCATTGCATTTGTACCATTTAAGCCCGTTGGACAAATGGCAGTAAAATAGCCAATAGCCGTTTTCTCTTGCTCACATTTTAAAAATGTATTTGATAGCTTCAATGTCACAGTTGTGAAAGGCAGCCCTCTGGTTCTGTCATCTCTATTAAATGGCACTGCTTTAAACTAACTGGCAGTAGGCTTTCTGCTACTCACCAGGCAGTTTACTAATTTAGATAACGCCTCAGTCATCAAAGGCTCCTTCTTTGGTTGCACCACAATCATTGTGACAGTTCCAGGTAAGAGTATTTGGCAGGGATAGCTCAAGGGTTCATTCTTTTCTGAATGTTTACTTTACCTGACATATCATTCCTGGGTGCCACAGTGATTAGTCATCTGTATATTATTTAAGGAAAGCTGAGAAAGACTGTTCTCTCCATATAAGAAACAGCTTGGGGGTGTATAATAAAAAAATATAACAAAAAAAGGGAAACTCAGCACTGAAGATTTGTTAACAGAGAATTAAAATGGGCTGCACAGCAAGCAAAACGCTCAAAAACATTCAGTGTAGAACAGTATGTATGAATATTCTAGGTAAGGCGGAGAATATTGCAAATTACCTTATTGCAAATAACGTTACTTGACAATTCTCATTTTTAAAAAAAGTCTTGTTTACAGTTGTTTAGAATCTTCACAGACTTCAACTCTTTGAACTGTTATTTCCCGTGCTGGGCTGTCTCCTGGGGTAAAGCATTTGGAAAAACTTTGATCAAAATATTCTGACTTTTTCTGAAAGAAAGGAATATGTATTGTACTATATACAATTTTGAGATTCAGAAGAGAGGGAAAAAAAAGTGCCCAAAACTATATACAGAGCAATGCATATTCCCTTCTTTCAGAAAAAGCCAAACCTTTGCTGTTTGGAAATGCCTTCAAAATCTGCTATCAAAGTATGATCTTCTGTCCTTCAAGTGCTCGTTCATGTTGAGAAAGATACTCTTGCTATTTATTCCATGAGCTCAAGTGATAAAGGTCTGCACAGTGAACCTAAATGATGGCAGTCGTGTTAGTGAGCCATGGGCTTTTCGGTATAGTTTCATGTCATGGCATTTGCGGAGAGCTGGATAGCTTTGAATTTTTAGAAACCTGAGAAATAAAAATAAACTTTGCTAGGGCTGCAAAGCTGAGAGTGAAAGTACGGATGAAGTCTCTTGGATAGAGAATGGGTGGCACTTACTTAATGAGCAGTTCAAATATTTCATTCAAATATTCTGAATTTAGTAATATTTTTATTTTTTGTCCTCTGTTCAGTGTGTGCCTTCAGGCCCTTTTTATTGCATGCATTTCAAAACTCGCTCCAGAGACAGAATTATTATTTTTCTCATAGGTTTCTATATAGCACTCAACGCTACAGTGATTCACAAATCATTAATGAAGTTATTTTCACAACACCCCTGTGAAATGAAGAGGAATTGTTGTCGTCCTCATTTCACAGATGGAGACTGGGGCACAGCAGTTCAAGGCGGAAAGTTCCTACTGATTTGAGAACCCAGTCTGAGACACCCAACTCTGTTTTTCAGAATATTTAGCAATATGTAGTATGCTCAAATCACAGTTCCCTTCAACTTCAGCTGCATTTGTGCACGATCAGCATTTTGAGCAAGGTAGACCCCACGTCTCAGGTCAGGCACTGAGCACATGAGGAACATACAATTGATGGATGGTCTTGTGTAAAACGCTTGGTTTTAAGAAAATTATTCAGTATCACATAGACTCTCTTGTGACACATGTAGGTACAGACTCCGAACTCTTCAGGGCAGGTTTTAAAGTACCTTAAGTAGGAGGCCTCTCCCCCTCTCCCCCTCTCCCCCTCTCCCAAGTAGGAGGCCTCTCCCCCTCTCCCCCTCTCCCCCTCAAGGAGCAGCAGTTCTGTTCGTTAGGCAACAGCCTCTTGCTCTGCATTGATTCATCCTGAAGACAAGTCCATGTGATGCACCAAATGAAATGTTGCGCTTTTGGAAAAAAATAGTTTGTGATTATATAATCACAAACAACTTAGTTATATAACTAAGTCTGGTATTTGGTAAATGCATTATCATACAAACTCTTGTACTGTCTTTAATCACAAACAACTGAAGCCTGTGAGGTGTAACAAGGGAGAGAACTGCAGAGTACTAACGAGACGATGGCAGACATACTGGTTTAAAATGGCTCTGCATGTGTTTGTATGTTGAATGGTAATAATTACTGCTTGCTGTACTAATTTCCCCCAGTTCCCCATATCCTATCCCTTGTTTTATACCTAGATTTCACGCATTGTAGGGTAGGGACTACTGTATGTTTTGTGTTTGTTCAGAACTTTATATAGTGTAGTCTTAATCCAGCAGCCTCAGCTGCTCTGATGGTATGAATAATGCAAACTAAAAAGTAACTCTTGTCTTCATGAAAGATGAGTCCCTCAACTACTTACTTGAAATATTTGTTATGTAGACTGTGCCATGTGGACATCAAAGGTGGCGATCAGGGACAGTTTGGCTACGGATATTGCCCACCTAGAATGTTGTAGAGAGAACTGCAATTTGGTCACTAACTTTTCTTTCTCTTAAGTGAATTTAATGTGTTTTATACTTTTCAATTTACTAAAGTGCTAGTAGTTTATTAAAATAGAACATTAAATTGACCTCTCTACCTATGTCACAGGACTGTTGTGAAGATTAATAATTAGATAATGTTTGTAAAGCACTTCTAATAAGTGAACAGTGCTATAAAGTGCTAAGTAT